CTTCCGAAAACTCGCAAGTGAGAAACTTTTGGCTTGAAACCACTCCATGCCTCTTGAGGTGTTTTTCCATGAACACGTTTTGTGTGGCAACGATTTAGTAAGTATACCGCACAAGCAACAGCTTCAGCCCAAAATTCCTTTGGCATATTTTTGCTCTTCAACATACTCCTCACCATGTTAAGAATGGTCCGGTTCTTTCTTTCCACAACGCCATTTTGTTGTGGTGATCTTGGCACGGTTGAAAAATGGCGAACTTCATTTTTCTCACAAAAAACTTTGAATTCATTTGAAGTGAATTCTCCACCATTGTCCGACCGAAGTGACTTAATTTGATAGCCACTTTGTTTCTCCACCATCCTCTTGAATTTTTTAAAGGTTTCAAACACCTCTGATTTTGCCTTTAAAAAATAAACCCAAGTTTTTGTAGAATAATCATCAATGAAAAGTAAAAAATAATTACTTTTACCAAGTGAAGATGGCTTGATAGGTCCACAAACATCCATGTGAATTAACTCCAAAGGGCATCTTGCTCTTGTCAAAGACTCTTTAGGAAAGCTTTTTCTAGCTTGCTTTCCAAAGATACATCCTTCGCAAAATTGGTTGGGATGATTAATACTTGGCAATCCATTCACCATGTTTTCTTTATCCATCAACCTTAAGCTATCAAAATTCAAGTGACCAAATCTCATATGCCAAAGCCAAGAGGAGTCTTTGGCACATGAAAGTAAGCATCTTGGAGCATCATTTTGAAGATTTAAAATGAACATTTTATTATTAGCCATAGGAACTTTAGCTAATAATCTCCCTTTTTCATCTCTCATAAACAACTTTTTATCTTTCAAATGAATGTCATAATTTTCCTCCAAAAGTTGTCCCAAACTCAAAATGTTACTTTTCATCTCCGGCACATATAAAACATTAGAAATTAATTGATGACTTCCATCCTTCAAGCGAATTAAAATCGTACCTTTTCCTTTGATTTTAACACGTGAAGAATCTCCAAAAGTGATTGTGCCACGATTCAACTCCATTATGTTACAGTAAAATGTTGCTCCCAGAGAATCCAAGTTTGCAAGTGGATCTTACTTCCTCTAAAAAATTTACATGCCAAATACATTAATACAGTTTAACCTGGGTATGGAATGACTGTTAGAAATTTTTGGGAGTGCAAGACAACTAAACAAGCACTCAATACTCACTATTAGGGAGGTGGAAGAAAGGATTGTTGGAAAAAAATAAAATTTGGGAGAGCAAGACAACAAAACACTCACAACTCACTTTAAGAATGGAGAAGAAATGATATTTTTCATTCAACTTGACTTGTTCCAAATGGCTAGCATACATGGGTATTTATAGTAGAACTCCTACATGTATCTAGCCTAAGCTTCATGTAAACACACTAACTAAATTCACATTAGTCTACACTAGTTCATACATCTCATAATGAAGTTCACATTAGTCTACACTAGTTCATACATATAATGAAGTTCACATTAGTCTACACTTGTTCATACATCTCATACTAATATGAACTAATCTAAACATATTTAATATAAATGTGAACTAATGGAAACAAGTTTATTATAATTTTAACAAGGATGATTTCTATTTAACTTCACTTGCTCCAAATGGCTAGCATACATGGGTATTTATAGTAGAACTCCTACATGTATCTAGCCTAAACTTCATGTGTACATATTAATTAAGTCCACACATGTATCCACTAGTTCACACAAATTCACACATGTCCGCACCTCACTCTTTAACTATATGTATGAAAACATTAAATTAATGTAAACAAATCTAAACAAATGTGGAATGGAAACGAGTTTATTACTATTTTTAACATCCCCCTTAAACTTGTTTCATTACTCCAAGCGCCATCCTTAACATTTGAAAGGCGTCAATCTTCAAAGGCTTGGTGAAAATATCCGCAATTTGATCTCAAGACTTCACATGCTCAAGCTCCGCAATTTTATTAGATATGCAATCTCTAATAAAATGATATCCCGTATCGATATGCTTGCTTCTTTCATGAAATATCGGGTTCTTGGCTAAATCTATAGCCGATTTGTTGTCAACAAAAATCTTTGTAGCATCCTTCTGTGGTTGGTGAAGTTCTTCCAACAAGCTCCTTAGCCAAATTGCATGGCAAACACACAAACAAGCTGCTACAAACTCCGCTTCACAAGTTGACAAAGTCACAATTGGTTGCTTCTTAGAATTCCATGTAAATGCGGAATTTCCAAGAAAGAAAACAAACCCAGTAGTACTCTTCCGATCATCAATATCACCAACCCAGTCACTATCACAATATCCCACGAACTTGGATTCTTTAGAAGATGAATAAAGAATTCCATAATCAAGCGTACCTTTGATGTACCAAAGTATTCTTTTGGCGACCTTTAAGTGCGAGGTAGTAGGAGTTTCCATAAAGCGACTCAGGAGTCCAACTCCAAAAAGAATATCCGGCCTTGTATATGACAAATACCTTAAGCTTCCAATAAGGCTCTTGAAAAATATGGGATTGACTTTATCTCCATCTCCATGCTTGGATATTTTAACTCCACATTCAACGGGGGTGCTTACGGGATTGCAATTCTCCATTTCAAATTTCTTGAGAATTTCCTTTGCATACTCTCCTTGAGAAATAAAAATGACATCCTTCCTCTGTGTTACTTGAATTCCAAGATAGTAGGACATTAGGCCAATGTCTGTCATCTCAAATTCTCTAGCCATTGCTTTCTTGAATTCTTCAAACATCTTTGGATTATTTCCTGTAAATATAGTCATCTACATACAAGCAAACAAGTAAGATGTCACCATTTTTAGCAATCTTTACATAGAGGGCATGTTCATGTGGACACTTAAAAAAAATCATTTGCTTGGAAATATTTGTCAATTCTACTATTCCAAGCTTGCGGGGCTTGCTTCAACCCATATAAAGCCTTCTTTAATTTCAAGACTTTATCTTCTTGTCCTTCAACCTTATATCCCGAAGGTTGATCAATATAGACCTCTTACTCCAATAGGCCATTCAAGAAAGCCGACTTCACATCCATTTGATGGATTTTCCATTGATTTTGTGCCGCCAAAGCAATGACAAAGCGAATTGTTTCCAAACGAGCAACCGACGCAAATACTTCATCATAGTCAATATCGGCCTTTTGCTTGTATCCTTTAGCTACCAATCTTGCTTTGTACCTTTCTATTTCTCCCTTGGAATTCTTCTTTAGCTTGTACACCCATTTGACTCCAATGGTGCTTTTGCCTTTTGGAAGTGTGACCAACTCCCATGTATCATTCTTTTTTATAGCTTTGATTTCTTCATCCATTGCATCCCTCCATTTGAAATTTTGGCAAGCATCTTCAAAGCTTAGAGGCTCACTGTCCACCAGCAAACAAAAATGAGTAAAATCATACAAGTAATTTCTTACCACTTCCGTGTTTTCATACAAGTCACTGAGACTTCTACTCTTGTGAGGTGCTTTACTTGAACTTCAGCTTAATTCCCCAACTTCTTGATCTTGTGGCGGAGGTGTTGAAGGTGGTGTGATAGCCTGCTCCCCATCTTCTTCTTCATCATCTTCAAAGAATGGACTAAAAGAGTATTCTTGCTCTTTAGATTTCCACTCCCAAGCATTATTTTCATCAAACTCGACATCTCTACTTATGGTGACCATGCCATTTTTGGGGTTATACAATTTATAACCTTTAGAACTTTGATCATAGCCAATGAAGGCATACTTCTCACTTTTGTCATCAAACTTAGCCCTCTTCTCATCTGACACATGTGCATATGCGATGCTCCCAAAAACTCGCAAATGAGTAACTTTTGGCTTGAAACCGCTCCATGCCTCTTGTGGTATTTTTCCACGAACACTTTTGGTGTGACACCGATTTGATAAGTACACTGCACAAGCAACAGCTTCAGCCCAGAACTCTTTTGGCATATTTTTGCTCTTCAACATACTCCTCGCCATGTTGAGAATAGTTCGATTCTTTCTCTCCACGACGCCATTTTGCTGTGGTGATCTCGGAACTGTCAAGTAATGACGAATTCTATTTTTCTCACATAAAATCTTGAATTCATTTGAAGTGAATTCTCCACCATTATCGGACCTAAGTGACTTAATTTGATAGCCACTTTGCTTCTCCACCATGCTCCACCTCCGATTTTGCCTTCAAAAAATAAACCCAAGTTTTTCGAGAAAAATCATCAATGAAAAGTAAAAAATAATTACTTTTACCAAGTGAAGATGGCTTGATAGGTCCGCACACATCCATGTGAATTAACTCGAGAGGGCATCTTGCTCTTGTTAAAGACTCTTTAGGAAAGCTTTTCCTAGCTTGCTTTCCAAAGAGACATCCTTCACAAAGTTGGTTGGGATGATCAATTGTTGGCAATCTATTCACCATGCTTTCCTTCTTCATCAACCTTAGGCTATCAAAATTCAAGTGACCAAATCTCATATGCCAAGAATTAAAATCATACCTTTTCCTTTGATTTGAACTCGCGAAGAGTCTCCAAAAGTGATTGGGCCACCATTCAGCTCCTTAAGCTCCACAAATCAATTTTTCTTTCCACAGATATGGCTACTTGCACCGGAGTCAAGGTACCATTAGTTCTTTTCCACACTTTCTTCTCCTTTGCATGCAAGAAGTAGAGTGGCATCTTCATCTTCATTTTTGCTATCCACAAAGTTGTTTTTCTCCTCCGAATTATCTTTACATTCCCAGGAAAAATGTCCAAATTTATGACAAGTATAACATTCAACATTCGATTTGTCATACCTTCCTTGATTTTGTCTCCATCCTTTGCCTCTTCCACGACCTCTTCTTTGACTATAGTCTTGGCTTTTATTGTCTCTATTTGGTGGTTGACTACCACCTCTTCCTCCTCTACCACGACCTCTTCCATTTCCACGACCTCTTTTCTGCGAACCACGCCTTTCATCTTTCTCCTTGAAGGAAAGTGTTGCTTGCAACGCCTTTTCAACCTATTCTTCTTTCGGTTTCTTCAATTTTTCTTCATAGGCTTGCAAAGAACTCGAAAGTTCATCTATGGTCATGGTGTCCAAGTCTTTGGACTCTTCAATAGCAACAACAATATAATCAAATTTTGAATCTAGGGATCGTAGTATTTTTGCAACGACCCTATCATCCTTCAACTCTTCACCATATCTTTTCATTTGATTGACAATAGCCAAAACTCTTGAAATGTAATTTGAAATAGATTCATTTTCTTTTATATGCAATGACTCAAACTCTCCTCTTAAGGTCTGGAGACGAACCTTTTTCACTTTGTCCAAACCTTTAAAGGAAGTTTGAAGAATGTCCCATGCTTGCTTGGAGGTTGTCGCATTTGCAACCTTCTCGAACATCTTGTCATCCAAACCTTGATGGATGAGAGTGAGTGCCTTTTGATCTTTCTTATTTGTGGTTGCGGCATCTTCCGCTTCATCAACTCCAGACTCTACCGGTTCCCAAACATCATAGGCACCAAGCAAGGCCTTCATTCGAATACACCAATTCCCATAGTTCTCTTTTGTGAGCATAGGAACTTGGAATGGTGTTCCATTAGTGTTTGTCATCTTTTCTCCAAGTTTGGTTGTCTCTCAACACACCGGCTCTGATACCAAATGTTAGATATTTTTGGGAGAGCAAGACAACTAAACAAACACTCAAAACTCATTATTAGAGAGGTGGAGGAAAGGATGATTTCTATTCAACTTCACTTGCTCCAAATGGCTAGCATACATGGGTATTTATAGTAGAACTCCTACATGTATCTAGCCTAATATTTATTTGTACATATTAATTAAGTCCACACATGTACACACTAGTCCATACATGCCTACACTAGTTCACACAAATTCACACATGTCCACACCTCACTCTTTTCTAACTATATGTATGAAAACATTAAATTAATGTAAACAAATCTAAACAAATGTAGACAAATGAAAATAAGTTTATTACTACTATTTTTAACAATGACTACATGAGTAAGAAGAGCCTTGCAGCACAAGCTGTTCAAGCAGTTTGCCTGGTGTGTTGAAGCATGTGACATTCAGCATGTCTAGAATTACACAAACGACGAAATGTTAAAAAAAACATACAGCAAAAATAGGGTATACAGTACCAAGAGGGGAAAAGAAGAACAAACAGAAAGAGTGGAAGATAACTTGGCTAATTAATGTACACACGGATATTTAATCTTTTGCTTATGTTTGGCTATTTCTGAAAGTGTGTTTACCCTGGAATCCGGGTAACAATTGAATTTATATGGGGTTTTAAGGATCCGTGAACTAAAAGATACAAAAGGTTTAGATTGAGGAAAATAAAAGATAAAGACTCAACAATTGCTGTTAAAGTAAATAATCACAGAATATAATATCGCTTAGAACAATTGTGCTTGATAGCGTACAAGAATTGAGAGAGATGGTACTGTAGTGTAATGATTTCCGATGCCCTCTTTATGGGGTCTTCTCCCCTTTTATACATTCTGATTAAAGGTAAAAATAAGGTAGGTAAATCAATTACATCATGGATCCCTGTAATTACGCCTTAATGGCCTGAAGTGGTTGAGAAAATCACGTTTGGGCGAGATATCCGGCGACGCTTGGTTATCCGTTACGAGTCCGGCTTCCGACCTTGTGTGTTTCTCCATCCGGTGGTGACTCATATCGAGCTCTGCAACGGTCTCGAAATGACTTGACCTCGGTTGTAGACGTGGCCGTCGTTCTACCTTGCATCCAGGTCGGGTTCGATGGCCCCGACTCGCCCCGGACCGGACCCAACCCGGTCGGGCTCAAGCAAAAAAAAAAGGAATCACCCAATACAGATAGTCCCCTCGTTTATTAGAGAGTAATGATAATAAACGATATGATCGGTGACGTGATGCCCGTGACGTATGACCATACGCCAGGTGAAAAAGCCATCGAGTACTCTGACCACGCCTGCTGCAGGCATTTAATGCTTCTCTTAATTATCTGTCGCTTCGTGTCTGTAACTTCGCGATTCGTGCCACCGCCTCATGGGAAAAGTATAAACGACCCTTCCAGGTTCAACATTTCTTATCTTTCTCAAATTTTGCGTTGGTTGTATTTTCTTTTCATCTCTTCGTAAAGCTTCAAGAAATGGCGAAAACTTCACAAAGTGTTCCTTCTAGACCAAGCTCGGCCGCGAGCCCCGCTAGATCTGATGAACCTGCGCCAGAACCCCCATTGAAAGCTTTCACACCGACTGGTTGCTCGGTATCTGCCGACTTCCAGGTTGAAAACCCATCATCGGTCCCGGGCCGCGGCGAACCGGCATCGGAGTATATCAGCCTAATCACTCCCGGTTGCCTAGACCGGGTGAGGGCTGAATGTAGATGGGAAGGGAAAGACCTGGTCGCCCCTTCCCGTGACGAGTCGATTATGACTCACGTTGAAGGGTATCTCAGTGTATATACATATCCCTTCACCTTAGGCCCCTTAGAACCCATTATAGTGGAGTTCTGCCGGCGGTACGAGGTGACCTTAGGTCAGATCCACCCCTCGATGTGGCGGATCGTATATCTTTTTCGGTTTTTTGTTGAGAGAGTCGAGGGCGATTTTCCCTTTACCCTCGACCATCTTCTTCGATTATACAGCCCTCGAATATTTCGAGGGGGATTAATAAAACTGGCCCGCCGGGCTAGCAAACCCCCATTCTCCAGCATCGATGAAGACAAAGATCGAGGCTGGATGAGCAGGTTTGTCCGGATCAGGACGTCCGACCTGATTCCGGC